GGACGACGAGCGCCGTTATGGACTACATTACGCCCAGCTTCACAGCGCTCGAGTTGCGGAAGCCCGATCACTGCATCAGTTGCGACTCGCCCAAGCCGAGAAGGCCAAAGCGCTGGTCGCTGATCGCGAGCACCAGTGGACTACCCTGGCTTGCGAGGCCGACCAGGCGGCAGCAACCGGAGACCTCCGCAAAACCTACTCGATCGTTCGTCGACTCGGAGGTTTCTCTCCGTCCACGTTGCCAGGCACTCGCTTGGCCAACGGTGAGTTCGCAGTCTCTGAGGCGCAGGCAAAGGAGCGGTGGGAGACCTTCTTCGCAGAGCTCCTAATTGGCGAGCTGCAGCAGGACGTCCCGCAGCCTTCGCCTCCTCCGCAGCCCGATCCGCAACTTGTTCGTGACGCCTTCGCTGAGGTGGGCGACGTGCGTTACAGAGTGAGCCAACTCCTTCAGACCATCCAGGACAACAAGGCGGTAGGCCCCGACGGCCTGCCGATAGAGGTGTGGAAGGCTGCCGGCGACCTCGCAGCCGACTACATGGCAGAGATCATCGAAGACGCCATCCAGACGAATGACGTCCCAGTGGCATGGCGCGGGGGACGGTTAGCCAAACTTTTCAAAGGAAAGGGCGACACGGCAGAGTGCGACATGTACCGTGGACTCCTGGTGGGCGATCACACTTCGAAAATCTTCACAGGTGTCCTTTACCCTTCCGTTCAGCGCCGAGTGGAGGAAGCGCTACCTCCGCAGCAGTGCGGCGGGGTGGCGTGCTCTGGGGCCAACCGTGGCCACCACGTCGTGTCGAGCTTCGTCGAGAGGACCGCCATCGAGAAGAGGCCGTCGGCCATTCTGTTCCTTGACCTCACGAAGGCGTTCGACAAGCTTGTACGCGAAATGGCCTTCCACCTTGAAGCCGGCTCCACCACCGAGGCGGACCTGGCCGCGCAACTAGAGCAGGTAGGGGTTGAAGGCACGGCAGCCTCGCATCTGGCCAACTACCTCATGCAGCACGGTGGCATCTTGCAGCAGACCGATGTCCCCGAACACCTCATCAGCTTAGTGGCCAACCTGCACAAAGACACATGGTTCGCACTCTCCCCAGAGGGCAGGGTCATCCGGACGACGAGGGGATCCCGCCAAGGCTGCCGCTTCGGTGCCTTGATCTTCAATGTTGTGTATAGCGTAGCCTTGGGAGAGCTTCGAGCAGCGCTTGACAAGCTCAACCTCACATTCGCTGCGGAATGCGAGCCCAGCGGCCCGCCATGGGCCATGGGCCCAACAGCCCGGCACCTTCCCAACGCACACCGTGCCTGTTGGGGAGGTCACGTACGTCGACGACGAGGCCGTGCTGATCGCGGGCGAGGACAACGCGAGCCTCAACCGCAACGTCGCCCTGGTGGCCGAAGCGGCGCACACCACCATGGAGAAGCACGGCATGCAGCTGAATTGGAAGCCTGGCAAGTCAGAGGCCCTCATTATGTGGAGGGGCAAAGGCGCCCGGGCCGCTAAGGCAGAGGCGATGATCGGCGAGCGCCCTGCTTTGACCGTGCTTGGGATCCCAGGCATCGAGTGTTCCGTTGTGAGCGAGTACAAGCACCTAGGATCCATGCAGTCCGGTGTCGCGTCCTCTGCCCTGGACATACGTGCACGCCTGCGGAAAGCATCCGCGGTGTACCATAGCTTGGTGCGGAAAGTCTTCGCAGCGCAACACATGAGCGTGCAGCTCAGGCTGCGACTTTTCCAATCTCTCGTCCTTTCAGTGCTATTCTACAATTCTGAGCTGTGGACGCCTTCGTGCACTCACATACAGTGGTTGCACACATTTTACTTGCGCGCCGTGCGCAGGATAGCCCATGAGAGCCGTTTTCCGATGCCTGGGAAACCACGCCTAAGCGATTTGGCGCTTCTGCAGAAATTACAGCTGCCTTCTGTAGACAATATACTCAGGCGGCGCCGTCTGTTGTACATATCCAGCTTGATTTGTAAGCCCTTCCCTGCACTGCAGACCCTCCTCCTGCCTCACTCGGCCTCCCCCTCCTCGTGGTCCCAACGAGTTCTCGCCGACCTCCAGGCGATTCCCAGGCTCGCGCCGCCACCAGCCCGGCGCGACCTAGATGTGCTAGGGGGCCCAAGCTCAGCAAAAGGAGCAGCCGCGTGGACAGAATTCATAGCCGCCGACTGGTGGAAGTGGAAACGTCTCGCCCGGGACGTCACGATCGGATCGGCGCCTTTTGCCGACGATTCCACAGAGCCCCTTACAGTTCCGTGCCCGGAGTGTGCCAATCTTTTCAGTAGCAGCAAAGCCGTGGCTACGCACAGGATGAGGGTTCACGGCCATCGGAAACCTGTGGCGTCCGTGATCCCAGCAGGGACTACGACTTGCCCTGCCTGTTCAAAGGTTTTCGGGACCACCCGGCAACTTCTAGACCATGCCCAGTACAGAGCCCGCAAGTGCCGAGATAAGATTCTCGCACTCTGATGTGTTTGCCAGTTGTTTTCGTTTTTTGTGTTTTGCCGCACGACGTTGGTCTATGGTTTCTGTCTGTCTGTCTGTCTGTCATCATCATCATCATCATCATCATCATCATCATCATCATCATCATCATCCTCATCCTCATCCTCATCCTCATCCTCATCCTCATCATCATCATCATCATCATCATCATCATCATCATCATCATCATCATCATCATCATTCCCATCATCGTGAGGGCACGTTGACCACTGCTAGAACCCCCGAACAACTGAGAACCGAATGCAACACACACATCCCCGGCCCAACGGGCCAGAGGCGTGCAAAGGTCTCCGGCAACGGGTCAGCAGTATTTCTAGCTCGCGCGAGCGCAGCGGCCCCCGGGGCCCCCGCACGACCAATACCGGGCGTTGGCAGGACTGGGTTTACTGGGACCTGGTTCAGCGACGTGTGCTGGGGGGCGCCCCCCCGCCCCGTGCCACTAACCAGAGCCGCCGTCACCCGAAAAAACACCAGCTGCGGCAGATCTGGCTCAGTGATTCTGGCCACTCTCGGGGCTGAAGGGGCCCTACCACCTGGCCATCGCTCGGACGTCCATTCCATGTGTTTTTTTCGGTTTCGTGCGTGGTTTTTTTCGCCAAATGATCAAGGATGCTCCTCGATGGTCCTCGCCGAAAGAAAAATGCACACGTCCGAGCGATGCCAAGCCACTGGCCGGGTCCCCTTCCCTGGGGTCCTGGCCATGCCCGAGAGCAGACCGGGCGCGGCCAGGCCGACCCCGGCCCAGGGAGGGCCTCTTTTCGCGTGGGCGTCGCCCCTGGGGCTCCCCGGGGCACTCCGGCCCCAACTGGAGCCTGCAGGGCCCGAGGCAGTCCCAGAGCACTCCAGGGCGCCTAAGATGGTTTTCCTCTAGGGTCCAAGAGGCCCCTGAAGTGCCCCAGCGGCGCTTCGAAAGGGCTCCCCACGGAGGCCCCGTAAGGATAATAGGGGAAGCTGAAACATGAGCAACCTGGGAAATGCCTAGGGCAACTGCGGGAACCCATCAAATAGTTGAAGGGGATCCACGAAAAAACCTGCAACCCGACGCAAGAATGTCGAACCGCCCTTCCGCTTGCGCTTCCGCGCTACTTCCGCGGGGCCTCCACCGTGAGATGGAGGCCGTAAGCTTTTCGGGAATCAGTTGGCGATCCGAAGGAATAACAGAAGCCCCAAAAAGATAAACGAAAGGCGACCATAACATCACCTGAGGGATCAAGCCACATCTATTATATATACACATTTACACATGTATGTATACATCTGTGTACATGTATATGTATATGTTCGACTTCGAACAACATGTATAATTTTACATAGCTAAGGGAGAAAACCCGATACCCCATGAGGCATCGGAGGGGGCCTATTGGGGAAACTTTGCGAAGCATGCGGAAACCCATGGGGCAACGCAGGGAACCCATGGGCAGCCTGAGGCAATCCATCAGACGCCGGCAGAAAACGGTAAGACAATGCAAAGAAACCTATCGGCAAGTGGTGGAAAACAATGCAGGACCTGCAGAAACGTCAGAACAGTGTCATGGCACCCATCGGACATCACAAAGGGTGAGGGAAATTTCCGCCAACCTTCCACGGGCACTTCCGCGCTGCGGGAGGCGAAGTCCGCTGGAATTCCGCGAGGAATCAGGCAAACTTGTTGAAGCACAAATAGGAGCGCTGAAGAAAATCCATGGGACACCCTGACGGAATAGATACGAAACCTCTGAGATTATGATGCTCCAACCTATTGTAGCATTGATCGAAACTTCGAAAATTTTCACGTGTCGGGCCCTGGGATACACTCGTCCGACACTGTTCCGACACTGTTTCGACACCTTTTCCGGGTGCTCGAAATTATTCCTGGGATGTGGTCCTTAAGTGCGATGGGAGCAACATAAGAATCTGAGAGCCCATCGGACATCTGAGAATACCTATGAGTAACAGAAAGAAGCGAATGCGAAGCATGCGGAAAACACAAGGCCGCCGGGAAACATTCATAGGGAACCAGGGGTGGCGGCGGCGGCGGCCGGCGGCGCCGGCAGGCGGTGGACCCCCTCCTCCTCCACCTCCTCCTGTTATCATTGTTATTATCCTTCTTCTTCTCCCTCCTCCTCCTCCTCCTCCTGCTCCTCCTCTTCCTCCTCCTCCCGCCTTCCTCCTCCTCCTCCTCCTCCTCCTCCTCATCTTCCTCCTCCTCCTCCTCCCCCCTCCTCCTCCCCTCCTCCTCTGTCTCCTCCTTCCCCTCCTCCTCCTCCCGCCTTCCTCCTCCTCCTCCTCTCCGCCTCCTCCTTCCCCTCCTCCTTCCTCTTCTGCCCCTCTTCCTCCTCCTCCTTCCCCTCACCCTCCTCCTCCTCCTCCTCCGCCTCCTCCTCCCTTCCTCTTCTGCCCCTCTTCCTCCTCCTCCTTCCCTCCTCCTCCTTCCCTTCCTCCTCCTCCACCTCCTCCAATGCCTCTTCTTCAGCCGTGCGCAACAAGCAGAGCTGGCGCGCCCAGCTGACTGCGTCGTGCTGCCGCCCGCCCTTCCGCCGCTGCCTCCGCGGCCACGCCGCCGACCCCAAGAGGCTCCCGCTGCGGCTGGGCAGGCCCCGCTGTTTCTGCTGGGCCTTCTTTCCACCACCACCACCACCATAAGCTGGAGGGGGAAAGGAGGAGGAGGAGGAGGAGGAGGAGGAGGAAGGCGGGAGGAGGAGGAGGACAACGAGGACGGAGAGGAGAAGGAGGAGGAGGAGGAGGAGGAGGAGGGAGGGGGAGGGGGAGGAGGAGGAGGAGGAGGAGGAGGAGGAGGAGGAGGAGGAGGAGGAGGAGGATCCCCTCCCTCTCTTACCAAAGATGGTGGTGGTGGAAAAGAAGGAGGGTGCGCCGCTGGATCTCCCCAGGGGGGAGGGTTGGGACCCCCCCCCCAATCAGTTTCAACAAACAAGTCGGTGTCGGCGTGAACCGATCGTGGGCAGCCAGTGGCATCGCGAGCTCCAAGCGCCTTCAGACCCTCAGGCGATCACGAACTGCTCGGCCCTCCAGGGCCTCTTGGACTTCCCGGGCGCATTCAGACGCTGTCGCCAGGCCTTCCGTGCCTATGCAAACGCCCCTCCACCCCTCCATGCCCCCCCCCAAGCGCGCCCAGACGCTCACAAACGCCACCGAGCGCCCCCCCTGCTTGGCGCTCCCCGGCGCATCCATGCGGCCCGCTCGCCGCATGCCCAACGACCCAGATGTTACCAGCCTCGAACTTATCCCTATCCCTAAGATTGACACGCCAAAAGGCGATGACAATCTCAGGGAGTCGCCCTCAAAAAAGAAGGGGATCCCTAAGATTGACATCGTGATGAGGAGGTGCCCAGCATAGGGATAGGGACATGTTCCAGGCTGGTAAAGATGGTCCGCCCCGCCAGCATGCCTTCGGGGAACGAAACATCAGCTAATCATAAAGACTGAGGCCCGCGCGGATTTCTGGGATCCGCGCTGGACCACCCTCCCCGGCGAGCGAAGCGCGCCCAGGGGCGGCGCCGGAGGCGCCGCCAGGGGGGTCCAGCGCCAATCCGAGAACTCCGCGCGGACCTCTATGTTTATGTAAGTGCTCGTTTCCCTATGCATGGCACACCACGCGCGCATACACACCACGCGAAATGGTTAAGAAATCATGGGTTAAGAAATCCATGGTCTCAGAACTTGAATAAAAACCCAACAGTTCTATCAAAATCTTAGGATTTACATTGAAACGTTAAGAATAATCGAGACACTGGCCGAAAACTTAGGATTTCTTAAGCATCGCCTAAGGTGTACGAGTCTTCAGGGTGGGCGGTGTGTGAGCGCCGCGCCATTGCTGTGCCGCTTCAGAGCTGTTGCGACGCTCGTCCTGCTCGGCCCTGGCCTCGGCGGCGCTCCGGGGGAGAAGCAACAGCGAGCAGGCCTTCTCAGCAGGGCTGGACCTAAACGTTGTGTGTTCGTGCTGTTTTCGTTTTGCTGTTCGTTTTGCTCTACCTGTTTTCCTGTACCTCCCCCCCGAAACGAGAAACATAACACAGCCGACGTCCAACAAACCAACGTTTAGGTCCAGCCCTGCTTCTCAGAAGGCGGCGGGGCCCCTCAGAAGCCCTACGGCCTTCTGAGAAGCCGCCTCTGCTTCGGGGAATGCTTGATTATTTGCTTGGTCCAAAAAAGGGCCGGAGGCCCTCTGAGCCTTCTGAGAAGGCCCGCCCTGTATTCGGGCGTTGGCAGAACTGGGTTTAGTGGGGCCTGGTTTAGTGATGTGTACCGGGGGACGCCTCCCCCGCCCCATTTAGCTAACCGGAGCTGCCGTCACCCGAAAAACACCAGCTACGGCAGACCTGGTTTAGTGATTCTGGCCAATTTAGGGGCTCTGGGGCTACGACTAACCGGGTCCTCTTACCTAGGGTCCTGGCTATGCTTGGGTCGGGCGTGTCCCCCTACAGGCGGGTTTTAAACGAAAATTAAAAATACCCCCCCAACAAAAATCAAAAGATGCTCAAACATAGTCAAACAGCAAATCCCCACACTATTCCTTTACTATCTTTGAATACTCCTCCTGCAGAGGGACAGGCCCAGGCTATACCCGATTTATATGCCCTCCCCCCCAGGCCCGCCGCCGACCAGCTGGTTTGGAGACAGTAATTGAACACCTCATGTGCCACCGCACGTTTGCTCCATGACGGGGCAGAACTGCTCGACACGACGACTGGCACATCTAGTAAACGCGATAAAACCCAGAGCCCTAGCGCGGAAGAGCTTCGCGACGCGAGGCTCTCGCATGCTTCTGGCCCCAGGGGACCTCCAGGGGCCTCCTGGAGGCGCGTCTCTGGCGACCTCCAGGCCAGCCGCATGGGCTGGACATCGGTGGCGCTGAGCACATGGCTGACGCCTCTCAGCGCGAGGAGTAGTTAGGAGGCCCCCTCCTCCTCCTCCCCCTCCTCCTCCTCCTCCTCCTTCTCCTCCTGCTTGTCTTTCCTTATTCTGTCCTCCCTCCCCCCTCCCTCCTCCCTCCCTTCCTGGCTTCCTCCTCCTCCTCCTCCTCCATATCCTTCTCTTCCTCCTCTTTCTCCTCCTCCTCCTCCTCCTTCTGCTCCTTCTGCTCCTCCTCATCCTCCTCCTCCTGCTGTGCTGTGCTGATGGCTGTGTTTCCTAGTGCACCTCCTCCTCCTCCTCCTCCTCCTCCTCCTCCTCCTCCTCCTCCTCTTCCTCCTCCTCCTCCTTCCCTTCCTCCTCGCACGACGTAGGCCCCCAGAAATCTGGGCCCCTTCCCCAGGGCTGGCTTTTCAACCTGAGCCGGTTTCAGACGGCCCCGAGGCCCGATCAGGGCCTCCGGGTGTCGAAAATCCGCCGACCCTGCCGGCGTGCGTGAGACGTTTTTCCGTTTGAGTCGTCGTCGTCGTCGCCGTCGCCGCTCCCCCGCTTTCCCGGGGCCCCCCTCTTCCGGCGAGTCGAAAGTGAGCCTGGTAACTCAAATAGGGCATATAGCCTGGCAAATTGCATCCATCGCTCTGCTGTGAAGGTACAGTATGAGGGGTGGATGGGTAAGATAGGATAAGATCGATGGAATGATCTTTCCAACACATAGCGAACACTCGCGGTGTCCGGGCAAATAGGGCGCGCGTGCCTTGAGCCCAAGGCAGCGGCGCGCGAGCTATGCTCCCGATACTGTAACATCTCCCAAAGAGCTACCCTTAAAGTCGGGAGGGGAGGAGACGGAGAGCATAGTCGCACGCAAAGATCGCGCGCACGACTGTTTGCAAAGAAAAGAAAACAGTGCGTACAGTCTGGTCAAACACCAGACTGTAAGGCGAGTTTCCTCGCAAAGTATTTCACGCAAATACAGGACAGCCCCTTCAAACAATGAAGGGCTATCGGCTCAGTTAGAGGTAAGCCAAAATTAGGCCATACCTCACCAAGCAAATGTGTATTAAGGCAAAGAGCCTGAGTTGTACGAAGCCGGCTCGTTGCCAGGCGTGAAATATAAGGCTCGTTTCCGAGCAGCTAAAGGGGCGCCTTTATAGTAGGCGCCCGTGCTGGCAAACTGGACCGCGAGGGCAACAAGGACAGACTAAAATTGATTAGACTTAGGTTTGTCTCTGTCCTCGGGACCCCGAAAGGGAACAAATTGCTTCACGTCATACTTAAATGACTGAGTGCCTGACATCACTTCCAGAAGCAGCTCCCGATCGATGCTTCCCTTTGTATGCCCATCTGCGGTCATATCCCTAGTATCACACCATTGCACATTATGTACTATACCTATATCCATGAGCTCACGTATCCAGCTGATATGTCCAAGCAGAGTCCGTTCTGTAGGTATTTTGAGATCCCTGCTTGATAAAGATTTGTAGACGGACTCAGCGTCTATGGTAAGAGAGACTTTGATAGCAAGGCCTCCAACTTCACGCATGTCTCGTAGTTGTCGTGGAGTCAAAGCCCCTGCCTTAAGCTCGTGGAGAGTAATGAGCGTAGGGTAACACTCATCAAGGTTATGTGCGGCTGCAAGTGCCTCCGCAGCATAACTGGACCTCACCTGTAATCGGTGTGATTTGCATAGTCCGTCACAGAGGTGAACGACGGACTTGCCTTGAGGCGAGTTTCCTCGCCGTAGTACGTTGGCCCCGCGTATGCCGTAGCCCTTGGTCTCGTCATCCTCCTCCCCGGTAAGCTTCCGATACCCCGAATCGCTATGGATGTCAACTTCATTCGTCGGCTTCATCCGAGGGAAGGTGATACGTTTCGGGCTGCTGATCAGCTTTCGCGTCACAGCATTCAAACGTCTGACTTGCAAATTGGTGGGCTCTTGAATTTTCTGAAGAGAGACCACATATACCATGAGCCAGATTTGGGTAAGAAGGGCATAGGCGAGGGCTCCTCGCAGGCTGACGAACATGTCGGTAATGAGTTTCGTGGCTTTGGCGTCGGCCGCCGCTCCTGTAAGTTCTGGGTGTGTGATAGGACGTAGTTGTTTAATGTACTCGTCCTGGTCCATGATCACATCTCCCTGATCATTCTTAGTGTAGCGAACGGCGCAGTTCGTATATGTGTGCTTGTTGAGCTTGCATTTGCCAAACACCTTTTCGACACGTTGTACATAGTCGTCTATATTTTTCTCTAGACCTGTCATGTTAATATCATCGACATGTTTTGCCGTCAGAAGGTCTTGGCTGAATTCAAATTCAGGATCGTAGCTGGTCGGTGTAAGTCCTATAGCTCGTGTGGTCGTACGAAGTTTGAGAGAGAACGCTCTTGGAGCGTCCTTAGTACCCGTTCCTGGTTTGAGGCATCTAAGACAGTGTCGACTTTCGTCGTAGGATGAGAAGCCGGGTAATGTACGAAGTACCTGAGCGCTTCCTGGTGGAAGAGTAAAGCAAACCATGCGAGTTTCCTCGCCGGTGGCATGGGCAAGTTCCTCATAGGTCAAACCCTTGAGGAACGCCTTATCGATATCCATGGATGCTAAGATCCACTCTGGATGGCATGCCGCTTCACTTGCCAGGAGTCGTTGGGACTGCCTTCGGGCGGTTCCCGAGAATGTTTCCACA